GTGCCTTAGTGACAATGAACCATTTTCCGACAGTATAACTTAAGTCGATAAAAGCTATTTGTCGATAAAGACCTTTCGAGTTCGATGTCATTCAGCTTGAAGGCCTATCAACCACATGGTGGAGTCAAAGAATCATTTTATGGTCAAATTTTTAAACCAGGGTCTTTAAACCGAGAAGAAGACCGAAGTTGACTACAATTTGGAAACGAGAAGCCACATTCCGATTCAAATTATGAACTATGAATTGAATTCCATATCATTTCAAGGTAGACTCGACTTCGCGATGAAAGAGTCATCTGCAACTCGATTCGACATGGAGTTATTTCTCAACTCCACCGAACAAAAATTTGTGTCTTTTTATCTTTGTCCTATTTTTCGTTCCACGAAAAAGGACAAAGAGGGGCGGCTGTAGACACTCATTTTTGTCCATATTTTTTATTTTTATTATATATATATATATATATATATATATATTATAGTTTTTAAAAATATTTTTTTGAAATACATATAATATATAGATTTTAAAAATATTTTTTGAAACTATATATAATATGGTTTTAAAACATTTATTTATTTATTAATTATTATTATTAATATTTTTTTATTTTTGTAGGCCAACACAATTCAGCAGCCCAACAAATTAAACCCAGCAGCACTTAACCCATTCAACTCACGTATCTCAACCGTTCCTATTCGTGGGGAGTTGGTTGTGCACTCACCTCACGTCTTTTGCGGGGGTGAGGGAGAGATGGAGAGAATAAGGGCTCATCTGTGATTGCCCCTTCTCTAAGGAGTGGTTTTCGGCACTTTAACTGTCACTTCCTATTTTTAGTGGCTATTGGGGTTATATAATTAGTTTGATATATCAACAAAAGGGGGGGACGCAACACAAACACAAATGAAAAGGCAGGGGGAATAAAAAAAGGAACTGAAGAGAGAGAGGTGTCATCATTTCATTTGTTTTCTAGGGCGATTAACTCATTTGAATCGAGCCGCCGTGAAATAAGTCGAAAGCAAATAGTGAAAAGAGGTGAATAGCGATGTTAAGATCAACCCGTTTCACTCGGATAGCATTATCTCTCACAAATCTGGTTAATCGTTGATTCCAATCTCTTCTTTTCATTCTCATCATTATTCTCTTCACAAAATCTTCTGCAATTTCTCTGCAATTCACTCGTTCTTCTCCAGATGTATTACTCCCCCGTCACCTATCCTTCATCTCTTACACTCCGGCAAGTCTCTTCCAATGCGGATCATCCGCAACTCAGACTATCAGCTTCATTTAACTCCGAGAGTAGCCATGGAGAGAGCAGGGAAATAATGGTACAACATTTGCTTCTAAAAGAAGACGACCAAAAGCTCTTGGACGAGCTTCAACAGAGAATAACTAGAGCGGGGTCAGTTTTCAGCAAAGAAAAGGGGGCAGTTGGGCCGTTCCTTCAACCGAATGACTTGCATTGTCGTCTCGGGCATCGAATCTCATAGAGGAGACAACAAAGGAAGAATGATAAGAAATTGTTGATATGTGCAAAATCCATGACGAGAACGTCGAAATTCAAATCCAGGAAGGAGATCGGCTTTCTAGATAGGCGCATTTGCAGAACAACAGTTCAAGGAAGATATTTATTATATGATGATAAGGGCTATGTGTGTGATGCTCTCTCGTTTGATCCACAATCCCGTTGCTGTCCTGAAAGAGGAGGCAAATTCTCTTGCCATGGACGCAATGTCGCAATGTCCTTTCAGGATACTTTTCAACTAATCAAATGTAAGTAATTTGAATCAATTTTTTTTTCTAAATTTCAAATTTTCGCAATTAAGACAACCGACAAATTAATTAGTATCGAAAGGGCAGTTCAAAGATGCTAACCCTTCCTTGACTGTAACCGACTCCCGAATCCGACACATCTTTGGTAAGACGCAGATCAGGTAAGAAATAAGGTATCCGATCAACCCATTTATTTTAAATAAATGATCGGTGGCGACTCCCAACTCACTTCTTCAAGTCGAGGCCCAATTCCGGGCCCAATCGGAAGACGATTCCGACATCTATCTAGTAATTTCTAGGTGCATAGTACAATTAAAGACACGTATAAGCAATAGTATACACTTTTTATGATTTTTTTTTTACAGAAATGAAATGGGGAAAAAAACTCAAGTTGTGAAACAGGGGTTCATGATTTGTGCACACCCCACTGCAGCCAAATTGGAAGGAACTTTTTCCTTTGGAATGTAATAAATTCTGTTGCGATAGCTTTAAAACGGGGAACCAACTCTGGCACGTCTTTATTGGTTCCTTGTGCATAAACCTACCTACAGCATCAAAACAGGGTATCAAAATCATTGTACATTCCCCATCTTCATTGATTAGGGCTCTTTCAAATCAGTGCTTTATGATTAATCAAAATTTTATGTCTGTTAAACCTTCCCTTTAATAACTAATCGACACGGATTAGAAACAAAACAGGATCGAGCTTTCTTACGTATAACATCTCATGTAATTTAAGGACTTGTCATAAGCTGTGTCCGAATGGTATTGGAGCGGCCATCATAATATTCATTTTGTCTCACTCTGGAATCACTCCCCAATACCCACCCAATCCATTGCCGTTTCTTTTGATTCTCATGTCTAAATCATCAAAGGCAAAGCAAATCACCTAAACCACTCAATTCCCCTCTTTATATATCTACTCTACCCAACCCTATCCTTATAATTCCATCACTCATCATAATACTCACCAGTTTGATGATTCACGTGCACCCGCTAGCAGTTGAAGCTGCCAGCGTGATCTAAACCTCCTTCGTCGTCCAAGGATGGATCAGATCATGTGACAGCTTCACCTGTTATCGGTGTCACGAATAGAGGCAAGCCCCTCGGCTGCATTTTGCAAGATACCTAGATTTTCGCTTCTTTTTTCTCCCACGTAGTTGAAATGGTGATCATCTTCGATCCCTGATACAATCCATTCTCCTTGTTATTAATTTTCCCGTGGTTTGTTTTTTACCATCTCTTTTTCCTTTCGTTATAAGTGACGCATCTTCTGCAGGGATTAAGTTCTCACAGCAAGCATAAACAGTAAAAAAAATGGTGGAGAGAGATGATAATTGAGCCATGCAACAGGACCAAGTTATCTACGGTTTGGATGAGATACCCGGCACAGCATATATTCTCAAGGTCCAATATATTTTATCTGTAAGATTTAATTTCCAGACTTCATTTAAATGTATCTAAAATTTCATGAAGGAATCTCCGGATTCTCAAGAGTCCAATGAAGTTTCTTTTAGGGTTTTCACTAATAAATCCTGTCATCTCTAATATGTATTAGTCGACACCTGGGCTGTGCTTGTGTGGAAGCTTCATTCATGCCCCATTTTACGCTTACAAATTACATGCATGGCGTTTATGGGAAATATTCCATATCGTTTGTAATTGTAATTTGGAACTTCATTTCATTTCCTTTTTCTTAATATAAACTACTTAAGCAACCACTCTTAATCCATACAACGATCCTAACTGAAAATATAGAAATTTGTTCGTGCTTATACAACGATCGATCCCAGGATCAAGAACAAGAAACTAGATCCATACTGAAATCAAATCTTTCATCGATCTTAAAAAAACTAAAATGGAACATCTTAATTCATCACTATTTAGTTAATTACAAATTAACTAGTCATCTAAACAGAGTGAAAAATCATGAATAAAATTTCTATTTTTTAATGTAAACGAATTATTACTTCTAAATTAGTTGTATTAATATCTTATTATAAATATAATAGATACAGAGCAATAAGAAAAGTAGATAATAACAAATAATTATATTATATTTCCAAATCAAACGAATGTGAGAATACAATATAACAAACGAATGCAATAATTCTAATTTTAAAGTTACAAAAATAATTATTTTTATTCATCATCTTTTTAATATTCTTAGTTGAGTTTTTAATGCTACTTTTATGAGGTAGTATTAACCTAATAATCCAAACGGAATAATTATTTGGATTTATAGAGTGGTCCATAAATTTATTAACAATATATGACAATTGCTACAATAATTTAAAACTGTCACGTGAGGATGAGAAGTTCCAATAAAGAATATTTTGGAACTCCTCACCTCCGCGTGACGAGTTCACCCTCCATTGTAATAAATATAGTAAATCTCAAACTGAATTTAAGTTTATTCTATTAGATTAAATAATTTATCCGTCTGGATTATTGCTCTGGTTTTGACTTTTCTCTGATTTTATTTTACTTAACTAATTTATGCACTCTTATAGTTTTAAGAAAACAATAAATTATTATTGTTTAGTTATGTTATAAATATTTATTTATGTGAATATTTATTTTTACCTATAAGATGGGATTTTGATATACTTTATTATTAGAACTTTAATATCCATTAGAGTTAGAGTTGTATATGACATCTATTCCGTATACTTATAAATATGGAGTCCAGAGAAAGCATTGTATATAACTCATATTGAGATAATAATATAAGTCTCTCCCTTTATTTTTATATCTCTTATTCTTAATGTTCTTATTTTTTCGTTTAAATTATTTTATAACACGTTATCAGCACGGGCTTGCTCAGAGAATTTTAGTTAAAGATCAAATTTTATTTCTACCAATTTCGAGTTACGTCATCCATTTATCATTGCTCTCTTTTTCTTATTTTCGTGGTTATTTATTTTTGTTTCACACTTGCATTATAATCTAAATCATTTATATTTTATGCACTAATTAATTCTAGATTTGATCATTAATTATGAAGGAAATAATGGGGATTTGATCATTAGAGTGAGGCCATAGCCATTACATGAAAGATCTATTCAAACGAACAAAAGGAGGGCCGAAGAGATCCCCTTGCAGTATGTCAGACAGTCCAGGGGGAGGTGTTTTAAAAATCCTGCTGTAGCTCGGCAGAGGTGTGTCTAGTTTGGCCAGAAAACCAGTAGCCATATTGTGCTTCTTGCCGGATGAGCTTGAAATGAATCGATCAATCTTGGGCGTAAAGCGAAGCGATGGGTTTAACAGTGCTGAAAGGGTTGTTGGCTGAAGGTGGGGAGAGGAGCTTTATAGTTATACATTCGGCATTGTCGCTTTGAATAATGACTCTGCGGTAGCCTCGATCCCAAGCAAGGTGTAAACCTTCTGAAATACTCCATAACTCATCATTGAGTACAATTACAATACCCAGCTTCTTTGTGAAAGATAGAATGTATTGACCTTTATGATCGCGTATACAACTTCCCATGGAACCAAACCTAGAATTTAGCGAGACGGCAGCATCCGTATTAATACAAACCCAACCAATTATCGGGGGATGCCATGTGATCAGCTCCACCATAGTAGGAGAATTCGAACTTACGTGTCTTAGCCCAGAAAAGACTTTGCAGGGGGTGAACATCCATCTTGACATTGGAGAACACGAAGGCGTTTCTTCTTTTCCAACTCTGCCAAATGATCGAAGTAAACAATTGACACCAAGAGCCTTGAGATAGAGAGCACAGTCGATTGGAGGAAATCCCTTGCAAAATCCGGGTCCGGAGAGGAAGACTGAAAAAAATTGTTAGGAATGCAATCGGGAAGAACTATCCAAAGATTGCTCATTGAAGGGCAATCACGTAAGATATGCAATAACGAATTCCTCATGATATCCACAGGCTGGACAAGAAGCATCAGAAGTTAATGTTAGGTATAAAATGATGGTTTCGTTGTTCAATTATAATCTTAATTATTGTTAGCTATATGATTTGGATTCCAACTATGTGACCAATCTTTTTTCTTATTATAAATTTGTACATCTATTCATCGATAAAGAGAAAAAAAAGTGAGGATTCACTCGGTTAATGCTTAAACTTGAAAAAAGAGGTGTTATTCAATCAATACTAAGTAATATCCTTTTCAACTACTGATTGTAATGAAGTTTCTGTTGATTTTGCATTTAGTTGATGTATGTTTTTAAAGAGAACAAAGTTCATGTGTCTTTATCGAACTTTTACTGTTTTAGTTTATATGGATGGTTTTGACATATTCGTAGAAAGAATTATTTTATACATTATTTTGACATATTTTTGACAAAGTAATGATGGTTTTTGACATTTTTTATACATTATTTTATGATTCCAATAAATAAAAGAATCCGTTCTTGTGTTATTATCATTTAGTATTTTATATGTTAAGTTGCACACTCATCATGATTTGATGGTTTGGATCGATGGCTAAAAGATGTATTATTTCATGGTCTTTACGTTTAATTAAATTTTATATTGATATTTAATAATATTATAATTATTAAAAGAATATTGGTTTTTGATAATGAAGTTGAGAATGGCAGATCTCAATCATGAAAAGTGCATCTATTTGAATAGTAAGTGTCACAGTGGCATTTATTGTATTTTGGTTAAATGATTATTAGTTTTGATGTCACAAGCCGTGTATGAAGCTATTTGGTATAGATTATTCAATTTAAGCCTATAAAATATTCAAATTTTCCATATTCCAAAATGTTTATAGTGGCATTTTTAAGTATAATTCGAGTTACCTAAAAAAAATATGTTATTCTACATGATATCTATATTTCTAAACTAATACTTAGAGATGATCTATACAAATTATTTACGCTACCTAGCCTTTAATGATGATTTTTTTGAATTAATTGTTGGTATCCGGATTTATTGACCAAATAATCCAGATCGGGTACCGTAGAGGAGAGGACGATACCTTCTCAACCCAGTTTGCTCTATTCGCAAACGTCAAGATTCAAAATCCTGATCTTGATTAAGGGATCTAGTACCTCATCCCACTAGACCTATTGGTTGTTGGTTATGATGAAATTTATTTTAATTCAATTATATAAGAGCAAATTCTGGGTAGAAGGAATTTTCGGGTCTTGTTGATTGACTCATCGACTTACTAGCGTTTATAAATTGTATATCTCATATCTGTTGGGATTTTTTTCAGATATTTCACAAGGGCATCAAATGGTAATATATAGAACGCATAGCATACATACGAAATTAATCTTTAATCTTTTTCCACTAAAGAAAAGGCATTCGCTAGAGAGATGAACTAGAATGAAATATTTAAAAATTATTTTTTTATTTGAACGATAATGATTGAATATTGTTACTATCTTTTATGATAGTTCTTGAGATTAACAACAAATGATAAAGCATCAAGATTAACCATTCAATTTTATTATCTTATATATGATATTTTACTTGTGGTTATGACTTTACCATGAAAGGAAGGTTGTTTTAAAGTTTATGATAGTATATGCAAGAACAACCATAATGATGACGACATTGTTAACAACCTCCAGGTACACTTACCATAGTTTATTTTTATTTGTCATATTTCTCATAGTGAATCAATATTAATATTTTTAGTAAACAATTTATTGAAAGCTCCAGAAGAGCTAAATGAATTCCTATTCGAATGAGTGATTTTATGACCTATAATGTTCTTTTCAGTTTTGAGGAAATTTGTATCTTAAAATTGTCTAACTTCTAGTCTCCGACTACATATGTTACAGTAAATCAGAAGTTTACAAAACTTGAATGAAATTGAATCACATGTTATGGTAAACTAGAAGTTTACAAGTTTGAAAAGAAAATTTAATTAGTTGACATGATTGGTTACACCATCCCAATCAATAATGATACGAAGATTATTGAGATTTGCATAAATCCAAAGAACTTGAAGTTCATGAGCTCAAAAGGAATTTAGAACTTCACTAGTTAAAGTTGAGATTGAATGTCTTGTATATCTTATTGAAATATGGGCTCATTTATTCACAAAGTGATTTTTATATGATTTCAATAGATGCATCTACGAGATAAATCCATATATGTTACCAACTCACAACCTATAATTTGTGAGATTATTTACTTCATTAAAAAGATAAATATTTTAGATTATGTAATCAAGATTGTTCGTCTTACTAAACTTAGTGAGTTTATATTCCAGGCTTTTAAAGAGTATATTGTATATCAGTTGAAATAACTGTTACAAAGCCTATTGTTTATGAATAAGCAGTTTAGCAAAATTTTTATTTATTACCTCCTTTTAATAGCTAAACTATGAGAACAAAAGTTCTAGTATCTATATGGGAATTCACATATAGAACTACTACGCATCAAGCCAATAAGTTATACTTCCCCATATGATTGGCTTATAGTCAGAAGCCATATATTTCCAATTATAATTTTTTTAGTTGTATTTTATATGTTTATATTGATCCACCATAAATGTAAAAAAAATTGATATTTGAAGTAGATTAGAAATGTGTGTGTGTGTGTGTTGAGTATGAGTCTCACTTTATTGAATGTTATGAGATTCAATAATTTTTTTGATAGGGAGAGAGAAGAATCAATAGAATGAAAATATAAATGAATTATCATTTTATTTAGATCTTCATGCATAGTGATGTGAACAGAAGTCTATAAGATAATTCATTACAACTGTAATAAGTATTTACTAACCTAGTGAGATTAATCAAGTCTCATATACCAGATGAAAATGCTCTAAATTTGAATTGAAATCCCATAAGGATAACATGTTAGAGCAAAAGAATGTAAACCATGCTTGAAGCATGAAATACCCTAAATTTTGACTAGTGACTAAAATGTAAGTTTTTGTAACTAAAGTGTAAACTTTGAAAAGTTTAGAGACCAAAAATGTAATTTTAAAAAGTTATATATTTTGGCCTATAAATGAACAGTTTGGCCTAAAACAAGGATTTTCATGGGAATTAGATTTTCGGTACGAGATTTGTGTTAAAAGCTATAAAGCGAAAAAGTTCGGTATTGAAATCGGATAATCAGACAGAAACAGAATTTTATGAAAATTTGAAGGATGTTAGGAAATTGTTGGAATATTATTTCCATATTTTAGACCAAAACAATTTGGCTTAAAATGGTGTAATTTTTTAGATTTGGTTGAACAATGGAAATTTATTGACTATAAATGCAATTTTCAAAAATTACATGGCCAAAGTGAAAAGTCAAAGTCAAGTTTGTTCATCTTTGACCAAGGAATATTTTAATGGAAGATAATACAATGGAATTTGATAATTTTCAAGTTTCATAATGGTGTTTTTGTAATTTCTCATTAATTGAATATTACATTCAATTATATTATATTAATGCCAAGTGTTAAGGATACGGGAAAAACAACATTTTCAGCTCTTTTTCTCTCTAAGGTCGAAACCACCAAGCACCAAGGTAAGGTTTTTATTTTTATTTTAAAGCTTACATGGTTGATTTTTGGACTAAGTTGTGAAATAGAGAATTAATCTACATGAAATTCTCTATCATTTGGCACCAATATTTCATGGTGAAGATGCTTGTGTGTTGAGATTGAGAATTAGGGTTTCTGTAGGATTTTTGGAATTTGAAAAATTGAAGAAGATATTTTGATGTTTTTAAGGCTGGAGATTAATTCTAAAATATGTATGATGATTAATTTGATGTGTACATGTTTGTATACTTTTTGGCCTAATTAGGGTTTTTTTGGAAATGTTGGGATTTTGATTTAATTTGATGATGTTATGGTTAGAATAGCATGAATTTAATCTAAGGAAGTTAAATTCATGCTTGAAATGAAATAAAAATCAAGTCCTAAAAGACTTGTTATATTCGGTCATAAGGGGAAATTAGGGGAAAAATATTGAAAAATTTCCTATGGTCTTGAAATGATAGTAGAAGTGTTCTATGTATTTTGGAAATCAATTTGGATCCATTTAGAAGCTTGAGTTAGTAAAAAGGCTAATATACAAGTTTTGGGAATTGTGGGACATTATTGCATAAATGTGATAAATGGAGTGTTAATGCTGAATTTTAATATTAGAAATGTTGGAATTTTAAGTAAGAAAGTTGATTGAGACTAATTTTCAAGTTTGGTAAAGCTTGAGGGTGGAATTCGAAAAGTATCAATATTATAGGGACTTGATTTCAAGTTTATTGAATGTGGAAGTATCATTTGGGTAATTATTGCAACGGTGGAAATTATATTTAGTATGCTGATTTTTGGGTTTAATTATTAAGTTGAGATTTAATTGCAAGTTTATCAAGTTGTGTGGTTGAAATTGAAAAATCTAAGAAAGTTTAGGATGAAATTGTAAGCTTTTGAATGTTTATGTGTTGATTTGAAAATTTTAGTAAGGTGCTGGAAATTTTATGTGATTAATGTAAAATGATCATAATGGTGAAGAGCCATTATGAATTAAATGGGAAAGATAATATGAATTCTAAAAAGAATTTATAATTTATGGCTTATGGTGTAATTGGCAAAAATTGAAGGGTTGATAGAGGAAATAAATATTCATGGCTGGAAATAATTTATTTCTATCGAATTTTATAATTTCGTTTAGATTATGTTAGTTCGATACTAACATATAGTTTGAATATTTTATATTATTATATAATGTCGTCAGACCATAGTCAATCTAGTGATCAAAGTAGTTTGAAAGGGAAGGAAAAGTGTGGGATCGAGAAAAATATTGTGAAGAATGTTCGGTAGCGAGGCAAAGGTGAGTACATTTAATTTGTATTTATGTTATCGAACAAACATTAGCTTGCGATGAGCCAGTGGCAGAGTTACGTTAAAAAGTGACTCTTAGTGTATGTGAAGTATGATTCAAACTTACA